CAATGAAAATACAAAGGTGGGAGACTCATTAAGTGCTACAGCAAGGGAGGAATGACTGAATAATCACACAACGCATATCATTACCAAAATTAGAAGTGTAACAACTCAAAGATAAGTCTTGATTTACTGTGCCTTTTTTTTTTTTGGTCTTAAACAATAGACACTTCATTTACTTATGGTTTGGTGGGTCAGCAGTTAGTGCTGGGCTCAGCCAGAGGGCCCTTCTTCTGGTCTCGCCTGGTTTACTCCTGTGGCTTCAGCCATCTGGTGGCGCACCTGTGCTGGATGGTAGACCAGATGACTTAGTTCACATGCCAGTGGCTGGTATTGGTTGTCTGTGCTGAGTGTCTGGTCTATTTTAGTAAATGTGAAATTTTGTTTCCCTAAGATCTTAAAAGATTACCCACTATCCCCTTGACCTATTTTCCTGTTGGTTCTTAAGGTGATCATGAACTCACCCATTATAGGGCTTCAAGACTCTAGCTAGCCCTTCTAGTCCCCGCTAGGCAGGGGCACGACTGCGGTGAGGTTCAGAGAGCAGGGTGCGTGAAAGGGAGCACTGGGGGCAGGGCTGGAGAGGGGCCTGAGGGCCAGGTCAAGTGGGATGGACTGTATTCAAGCAGCGTAAGGGTCAAGAGGACTGTAGTCTCATCCTATATCCCCTAAGAGATAACTACCACTCGGAGAAAGTCGAATGTTAAAATCGGGCTGCAGAGGGAAAATATGACCCAAACCAGACTAAAGCAGTCAGGTGTGACCTTTACCCTTGACAGGCTGCTTTGCCTGCTGCTGTTGGCTCATTAGCTTCACAAGTGTCTCCTGGCTTCTGGCCTTCTGGGCAGCTCAGGGGTCCAGGGGCTCATTGGAGCATCAGCTTTCACTCTGCGGGGCACGAAAGAGCGACAGGGCCGCCCGCTGACCTGCAGGACAGGCTGAAGGGCAGCTCTCCCGTCCGCTCACCCCAGACCCGGCCCCCAGGAGGCTGGCGCCACGTCCTGCCAACCCATTCCAAGCAGCAGACACCTGCGCTCTACTCTCAGCCCAACCGCTTCCCCTCTGGGCCTCAGTTTCCTTCCACAAAACCAAGGAGGGAGACTGGACCAGTACCTCTCAGGAGGGGGGTCTGCAAACCAGTGCCGTCCACCACCTCTTTGCTGCTGGTTCACAACAAGAAAGGCACAAAAATTAAGAGCAGCTTGGAAGCTTTTTACAGCATTTGACATTGCTACACAGCCAAGCACACAATCAGTGGAACTGTCTTGTTGAGCACAGACTGGTACACAATTTTCCTGCAGATGCCATAATAAATTACCCCAAACTGAGTGGCGTCAAACAACAGAAATTTATTCTCTCACAGCTCTGGGGGGCAGAAGCCTGAGATCATGGTGTCAGTGGGGCCATACTCCCTCCAGAGACGCTAGGGGGAAATCTGCTCCTTGCCTTTTCCAGCTGCTGGTGGCTGCTGGCATTCCTTGGCTTGTGGCCATGTCACTCCTCTCCTTCACCGCCTTCTGTGTGTGTGCATGTGTGTGTATTAAATCTCCCTCTTCCTCTCAGTTATAAGATGGCATTTAGGGGCCACCTCAATAAGCTACAATGACCTCATCTCAAAATCCTTTTCTTAATTATAAAGTCCTTTTTTCCAAATAAGGTCACATTATTTGGACACGTCTCTGGGGCTACCATAAAGCTGGTTTGGACACTGCTGAAAGCACGTGTGACCAGCTGTACATCGTGTGCACTGTACACTCATATCAGTTCACTGCTGGAGGGAAAACTCACCACCCTGCCTTTCACTCAGCTGGGGCTCCTGCTCTTCCTCTACAGCCCAGGAGCCCGGGCTGGCCAGGACCAGACTGCAAAGTGCACCCCCAGGTAAGAAAAGGAAGCTGACAGGTGGCAGGGGTGTGAGGAGCAGGTGCAGTCTGTCCCCTCAGCTCTTCCGCAGGCAAGTCTCCCACCTTATCTGGCAGGTAGTGCAGGAGCTGCTCCCTCCCTCCCCCATCCTCCTGTCCCTCACACGGCTTCAGTTGTAAAGTGATTAAACTGATCTGCTTTCTGTTCAGGTGGGCTTCCCTCATCCCATCAAATGCTGTTTTCAATGCCCAATTTGTGAATGAAAACAAAATTGTTGTATTAAAATCCTTGTGCACCTAGCACTGTCCTGCTGCTAATGTATCCTCTCCCCCAACACCCCACCCTGTAACCTCGAAAACTCTCAGGAAGTTTCCAGACTTCATAACAGGATGGAGAAGGTGCTTGGAAACTTGACAAAGCAAAGATTTCATTTCTCCTTAGAGGTTTTCTTGCCTTGCAAGAACACCCCTTGTTAAAGGAACCAGTATGTTGAGTCCCTTTGCTATGTTACATTTCAGCCTTAAAGGGCAGACCGTGTCAAAATACTCGAGAATGTTGAAAATGAGAATGCTCGATGCAGGTATGGCCACAGCAAAATGGACACTCTCATTATTCAACTACTGGAGGGGGTAGAACAGGCCCAGTCTTTCTGGAAAGCAGTGTCGCAAACTCTTATCAAATGGCTAAAAACTGGACACACCCTCTCAGGTTGCTGTTCCATTCTCAGAACTCTGCCCTAGGGGATGAATCTGAAATGGGGACAAACTTCCTGCTCAAAGGTAGCCGTGCAGTGTTATACACGAGGCAGAAAAACTGGAGATAAACTTAATAGCCCACAAACGGAATGATTAGACAAATTATGGTGGATTCATCAATAAAGTTTCATGTAGCCATTAAAATGATACTTTACAAAGATTTTTCTAATAAAAATAACAACTACAATATCCTTACATGGACCAGGCGCTGTCCTACACTTTAAGGTGCCTGACGGACACCAGCCCTCTTCA